AAAAGGAGCTCTTGCCTCATTTTCTCGAAGATGGAGCTTAGTCAAGTCCGTACTGTGCAGTGCTCAGCTGTGTCCAACTCTTGGAGACCCTGTGGATTGTAGCCCGCCAGGCTCCTCTGTCCATGGGATTTTCCAGGCAAGAACAGTGGAATGGGTTGCCAATTCCTCCTGCAGGGAATCTTCCTGATCCAGGGATAGAGCCCACATCTCTTGTGTCCTCTGCATTGGCAGGCGGATTCTTTACCACTGTGCCACCTAACCCATCCCTAAATTTTGTCCACTTATGCCTGGGAAACCTCAGTTGTTTCACATGTGCCATAAATTGCCCATTCAGCTTTACAAAGTGGCTCTTGGGTTCTTCTGCACCTCCAGTAGAATAATCCATCACAATGACACTGCTTCCAGAGGCCACCTTGCCAAAGCCAAAATCTGATGAATGTACTATATCTCACAGCTCCCAAAGCCTTTGGACCATTTTCCATGCATTACCCATAGAGCTATTATCAGTGTATAATTGGTGGAAATGGTCTCTTTTTCATATAGTATCACAATTTGTTACTTGGGGACCAAAGGAATGGTCCCTTTACACTGAGTCATTGGTGTAAAGACTTATTCTTTTTCTGCCTGCAGCCTCTTCTCTCCAATGATCAAGACCCAAATCCTAGAAGTCCGACAGGGGGAAATTGCGTCTTTTCCCACTCTACTTTCCCCTGGGTACCTACTCTTCCTTCAAGAAAATGAGAAAAAGAAACCTCAAGCAATCTGATTCCTAGAGGCCAGCATGTGCATTGATCCAATCACTTCCAAGGTGAAGCTAAGTCACAACTGACCTCATTCTCAGCACCCCTGAGTTTCATCTCCCTCGGCCACATTTTTTATCATTTCAAAGGGTTTTTTTTTTTTTTTTTACAGTAATTTCCATAGAATTTGCCTTCAGTGCTTTACCTATGTTCTCCCAATTCTGAACTGACTCCATGGAACATCAGGCTTCCGAATGATGGATGGATCAGACCAGAAACACAATTGGGTAATTGTTTCATATTAAATGGGTTTAGATTACATTTCCTGTCTTGTGAAATGGTTAAAGCCCCCACTTTCACCCTACAATATCCGGTTGTGAAGAGTGAGCTGGAGGGGCCCCAGGTACAGGGATGAGAACAAGCTTTCTTAGAAAGAGGAAGCCATGCTGATCCTATTTCTCCATACCCTGCTGACATCTGCCTTCTTGGGGCACTGACGGGGCCATGGACCATTTGCTTTTGAGGAGTCACAGGACCATCCTACCTCCTGGCCAACACTGAACTTGGAGAAAGCTCTTAACTCCTCTGCCCCAGACTGCTTTTGTATAGTGGCTGAATAAATGATGGCGCACATGCTAGGTTGCTTCACTTATGTCCAATTCTTTGCGACCTTACAGAGTGTAGCCTACCAGGCTTCACTGTCCATGGGATTCTCTGGGCAAGAATACTGGAGTGGGTTGCATAGCCTCCTCCAGGAGATCTTCCCAACCCAGGGATCAAACCTGTGTCTCTTATATCTCCTGCATTGGGAGGCAAGTTCTTTACCACTAGGGCCACCTAGCAAGCCAAAAAAAAAAAAAAAAGATTAAATCAACCTAATTAGCTAGAGTCTTCAATGTAACTCATATCTTATTATCCCAAGTCCAAAAGGAAGAGGCTCTGTCTGCTCATTTCATTTTTTAAATCTGAGGCCATTGGTAGTAACTTCCTTGGCAACACGGACCAGCCAATGATATTATGGGGACTAGTGAAATGTCATCATTTTGAGAACATAAGGGTTAGTTGATTTCAGGATCCTGAACCCCTATAATAACTTGGCATAATAATAGCTACTGAATATATTGTTGGATACCATTTCAAGCCATTTCTCTAGTTGGCAATTTGATCATGTTTGGGATATGATTACTCAGATGGAAAATTAGTTTTATCTTTTAAAATAGCCTATTTAATGACAATTCTACTTAGAGTCTTTGAAGGATTAAAAAAAAAAGTGACCATGAAACACAAACATTTGTTGCTGAGATCAATGGTGAGAAACCTCCCTGGTTCCATTTAGAAGGGTTTGATGATTGTCTTCAAAGTCCTTGGCAGCTCTAGGACAATAAACACTTTGAAGCCCAATGCTTTGTCATCCCCCTGCCTCAGGCCTGCCATTTCTGGCATAGATTAGCGGTGTTTGCTATTTCTTTCTTTCTTTCTCTGTTTCACAATGGAACAGTTTCCCCATAAAGATTGTCTTTCTCCCCTGTGAATACCAAGCTTTTCAAACAGCTTAGGCTATGGCCCTGAACTGTGTGGACAACTTCATTAATGAAAGATGTACTCCATGGGACCTCTGTTGCCACATTATAGAGTTTGTCTTAGAACACTGTGTCCCCCACATGACAATGATGCAGACAACACCACCACCATGATAGAATCACAGCTGCAAATTAACCCTAGCCTTGGGTGGCTTTTTCGATGCTCTTTTTCTAATAGTGTTTAAACCTTCCCTCAACACTTCCTCTGACTGTTTCCCAAGCAGAAATCAGTTTTTTTAAAAAGAAGATCCTTCATCATTTTTATTCAATCAGTTGACCTAGTATTTCCCCAAACGCTTTCGGATTTTATCTGCCAAGTCTCCTGCAGGAAAAGTACTTCTCTATTCCTCTAGTGAATTAATGGCATGGTAGGACTCCTAGGATGACAGACTTTTCTCAAAAGTGGACATGGTCAAGTGGGGCAATTAATTTTCTATTTCTAAGAAGTCTTGAAACAGCACTGTGATGCTTTGCTTGTAGATAAACAATTTGTCTTTTTTTTTTTTAACTGTAGGCACTGATGACAAGAAAATTAAAGAACCCCTGAAAGGGTATAATGGTGAATTTCTATGGATCCTACCTTTTCATGGACCAAAGAAAGGAAAACATCAAAATTATTTTAAGATAAATGCAAAACAATAAATTCTTTTTAAGGAAGCTGACACTGCTTTGATACAGGAAGGAATTATTGTATTTCTCTCTTCCCTTCAGTTTGGACAACTTCTCAGACAACTGATTTCTGAGAAAGGATCAAACCTCTATGTGAAATGGATTTAGATGGTCCCTTTAAATAACGACATATTCTTTCTCTCTTTCTGCCCCAAATATATGTCTCTCTGTGTGTATTAGATATATAATATATATATTACAAATACATATGTGTTTTTATACATACACATATATACAAAATTATATAATTTTCTATAACTGACTTTTGTTCTCTTTGAGTTTCTTTTTCTTACTTATGATAATGTCCATAATGTTTAAACTGTCTGTTATAAATTTCATAATAGTGCTACTCATTTGTAGTTCAGTGGGATTTTACTCAGTTCCTAATATGCATTCATTATTAAATTTGGCGGGAAATGAAGACTAATGCCTGTGCTCATGTGTGTACACACACACATCACTGGGCCCGTAACAGAAAATACTTCTGACAAAAGGTTTCCTCCAGCAAAATATAAGCAGAAAAAAAAGAGAGAGAGAGAAATTAATAAATGCGAAGCAAAACTATAGCAATTCTCACTTTCCAACTTTAAAAAATTGGAACTTTCCCAGGTGGCACAGTGGTAAAGAATCTGCCTGCCAAGGCAGGAGATACAAGAGATACAGGTTCCATCCCTGGGTCCAAAAGATCCCTGGAGTAGGAAATGGCAACCCACTCCATTATTCTTGCCTGGAAAATTCCATGGACAGAGGAACCTGGAGGGCTACCATCCATGGGGTCACAAAGAGTCAGACACATCTGAGACTGAGCATTCACACACATGAATCTACATGAACTGGGTGTTTCTCTGGAGATAAGTAAACTGTCTGGCAGCTGTAAAGTATTTGCGTTTAAAAAAAAAATTATAAGTGTGTTCAACACTCAACCTCCATCAGCTTTCTTTCCCTTGGAACATAAGGAAGTTAACCAAAAAAAAGAAAAGAGAAAAAAAAAAAAACACTACAAGTATAAAACAGCAAGAAAAGATTAACCTGAGACTTAAATACAGATCTGGCTTGGAATCCTAGTTCGAATTAATGTTATTTAACCATGTCTCCGATTCATCTTTAAAAGCAGGGTCATCAATGTCTAGTGTTCTGGTTGGTTGAAATAATGAGGTGGGAACAGCAAGTAAGATGAAGCATAAAGTCATGCTTACTTGTATTGGTGTTCACAGAAGTTAGTTTCTCCATATAATCTCTAAGATGGGTGAAGCAAAAGGATCAATTCATTCAGGACTGTACTTGTGTGACTCTGAATGGGTCTTGTTGGTACCAGTCTGTTTCTTTCCTGTGTATGTAGTTCTTGAGAACTGGTAGTTCCATGCAATTCCAGATTTTCATCCAGAAAGGAAAGGAGGAAGAAAAAAGAGAAGGAAGAAGAAGGAGGGATGTAGGGAAGAAGGAAAGTTGGAGGGAGAGAAAGAGGAAATGTCTATCTCATGTTACTTACTACTACAAGAATTTTGCCATTGAGAAATGGGAAATTAGCAAAATGTATCTAATTTAAATATTGCTGGTCCAAGTACCTGCCTTGGTGGCTCAGATGGTAAAGAATCCACCTGCAATGTGGGAGACCTGGATTCAATCCCTGGGTTGGGAAGATCCCTTGGAGAAGGGAATGGCTACCCACTTCACTATTCTGGCCTGGAAAATTCCACAGACAGAGGAGCCTGGCAGGCTGCAGTCCAAGGAGTCACAAAGAGTCAGATATGACTGACCAACTTTCACTTTCACTTCACAAGTACCTGCAATCCATTACAAACCTCTGCCTGACACAGCAATATATATTCTTTTTCTATTTGAGCTCTCTTAGTTCAGTTTTTTTTCTCTCTCTCCCATGTGATCTATTTTTCTCATATTTTTCCAGATAATTATGGTAGAAACAAAATTGTCACCCAGCAAAAGACATGGCAATATGTGTGCAAGGTTGATCTTGGGAAATCAATAAGACAAAAAATAAAAATAAAAATAATAAATCCCAAACAGGTCTTTTTATTTAACATAAGGCCAAAGAAGCTATCAGGCGTTGCTGAATACTGTCCACTAACTGTACAAAATATTGACTGCATGCCTCGCAAACACCAAAATATCCGCTGGAATGCCATAGAAATAAATAACTTCTGCTATAAACACATGAAAACATATCAAACTGTTATCTCTTTAAACATATCGTAAATAAAAAAATTACCAGTACTTCTACACAATAAATATTAAGAAATCATTGACATAGTTGAAATGCACTCATATAAATTAACAACTTTAATTACATTAGCCAAACAGACATTGGTTAAAGAACTGCATGTAATATGCCAAAAAAAAAAGGATCAAAATAAAACAAACAAACAAACAAACAACACCAACCACAGAACATAAAAGGTTTTAAAACAAAACAGGCTTCAGATTATCTTGGCTTTCATAATTATATTTTTCTTTTAAAGAAAAATATCAACCCATTGTCAATGCACTGTTTCTCAAAGCATTTAAATAGAGGGTAAAGCCCATTGGAAATTAATACAGAAAAAATGATTCACTTTATGCATAAAAAATAAATAATAATATAGCTGAGACATGTGGTTTGCTTCTGCTCTTGAAGATGTGAACAGCTTCTAAGCATTCATTTTCTCTGACCCATACAACAGCTTCTCAGTGATAAAGGGTTTAATTTAAACATACACAGTGTCCACCCGCAAGACTTCTGCCCACATCTACAAGTTCCATTTATTGTGTAGGTTTTCAGGGTGACTAAGTTTTTCTCTATATTGAAAAGAGAAGTTTCCAAAAGGCCCACAGGAAATCATTTTTTCAAGTGGACACGATAATTTGAGTCTAAGCTTAATAGCACTAAGGCATTTGCCTTTTTTGATTTTAGAGTCACCTTGATGTTCAATCTCTTGAGGGTGACAAAAAAATTCACTTGGAGAAGGCAGGTACTCTCCTTAAAATCAGAGTATGGAATCAATCTTAAATAAGTATGAAACTGATTGGTCTTCAGAGACAAGAAAATCCCAACTCAGTGTTCTGGAATTCACCTTACTTTTTTTGGAAAAAAAAAGAAAAAGAAAAAGTCAATCAAATCTACAACATATTTAGGATTCTTAAAAATTATTTGGGAACACGTGCTTTTCAGATCTTTGAAGATTGGATGTGGGTAGACTTTTAAGAGCCTAGAAATGAGCCCTATAGAAAGAGCACAGATCAGATGAAGCTAAACTTGCTTTAGGAAAACAGATAGGGAAGACCCAGTCTGGTGGAATTTAAAAGCTTTTTCTTTTGACCTCACGCTGCTCCATGAACAGCATAGCTGTTTACAAAGTTGCAAAACTTCCAAGATGATCAAAGATAGTTGTAATTTATCATTCTATTTCAAGGCCATATACATTTAATAAAATATTTTAATTAAAGTTTGGAGATGTGTAATTTATTAAATTAAATCTTCCCATTAAAATATTGTCATATGTAATTTCATTTAGCTCTGCAGTATACTAATTACTGTGGTCACTTAGCAAACCCCATTGTACCCTCAACATATCCAAGATTTAAAGGCTTCAGTAGATGGCAGACATATTTGAGATGAATGGGAGCCACAGACAGAGATCAGCTATTTTTTCAACCTCTTTTTGCTTTGTCTAGTGCCTGGGCTATCTCTGCCATTACACAGTGAACTAGGACTTGATTTCCCATACTATTTTCATAGGTTCCTCTATTAGTTCCAATGCCAAATAAGAAGCAGTTCAAAAGGCCCTCAAAGTTTTTCATGAAAATTTCATGACACTCAGCTGCCCAATTTCCTAGTCAATGGTTAAGGGTGAGGAAGTATCAATGTTGCATGCACTCCATCTCATACTTAATTAGAATCTATTCTTATGCACTCGTGTGGGGTTTCCTGCACAACAAAGGATGAACCTCTAAACTGTAGTATGTACAGCCAGGTCACAACATTAAATCTGCCTACATACAGCCTAGTAGATAGCAGATTGATTTGGTCTATTTCTCAAGAAGAGCTAAATCACCTTGTGAATGATTTCTCACTGATACTTTATTTTCCTACTATTAATGTTTTTAAAAAATCTACAAATTGGCATAGGGCTGAAAGCTTCAATATTTTACAGAATTCTAACAAACGTAATTTCCCCCATGAGACCTTTTTTTCCCCCAACTTTCACAAATTTCAACAAATCAGTATAAGTAAGGCTCTGTATTTTAAAAAGCACATAAATGAATAAGTATGACCTAGGCAAGCTAAATATCATAGAATAAATCAGTAACAATTTAGCTTTAAGCATGTACTTTGATATTTATAAAACAAAGTGTTTTTTTTTTCCTTTTCACATCTGAATCAATGCATACCAATTTATACATCAAGAATCTGGGCTGTAAATTAAAATATCAGGGATTTTTACTACTGCCCTCATTCCTGTTTCCCATTCCTTTTCTTACTCCCATGCTCTTAAACACCTTCCCCCAAATTATTTATCGTTTAACTAGTGACAGCAACGTTATTGAGTCCAGCTGCGCAGGTAATATTTCTCACAACCAGACCTTAATCATAAAAAAGCAAATTAAAAAATGCACCCACCTCTTTTATCCTGGCTTATGGTTAATTTTTTTTCCTGAAAAAGCTTCTGATTTAAGATTGATTCCAACAGATAATACATATGTTATCCAAATAATCAGCCTAGATGGAACACGAGTTTCCTGCTTTGTTTTCCCTGCAGGGAGTAAGTAACTTGTAGGATGGGGTTGGAGGACAAGAAAGAGGAGGGAATTGGATCCCTGTACATTAAAAGAGGGTCTTGCTGAATATTCACTGGAATTCCTAGGCTTTTCCCATCCAAATTTTTGAAATGTGCCCACCTAGTTCAGAGTAAAAGCAAAAACGATAGCCTATCCTTCTTAAAAATACTGTGTTTTGCACACAAACATTCATTGCCTTAAGAACATTTAAAAAATGACAGCCTGAAGTGCTTAAAATGTGTATGGACACGATGCGCCACATGTATACATACACACAGACATGCATGTGCCCGAGCACTGTATATATACACATACGAGCATGGAGCGTTCCATGAATCTGATTGAACTTGATATCCAACAGTGTACAACTACTGTACATCCAGTATGAAATGTCCTGTTTCATGGATGTATAAGGAGTCAAAAAAAAAAAAAAAACCCAAACTTTTCAGGTCTTTCAAGCCTGAACACAATCCACCTTACTCAACCTTGAATCCCAACCCCTGACTCATTGATGGCGAATGATACCAACCACAGACAGACTGTTTAAAGGCTCACACAAATGTCTTTGGTGTATGTGTCTATTTTTTAAGGTACAAAATAATAATAATAATTATAATTATAATAATAAAAATAGCTATTTTGTGTGCTGTAGCAGTTCTTTTATAGCTCACATTAAGTGCAGCTCTGAACCCCACCCCACCCCCACCCAAAGAAAATACTTGTTAAATAAGGATTAGACAGGTCGAACACCATTGTAGTGCAAATAGTAAACGATAAAAAAAAAACAACATTTACAAAATATAGAAATGTTTGGATCCAACAGATGGACAAACATATTCCTTTCAAGTATCTCTCCTTGAAGAAAATAAAAATTAATCAGGTTACTTCCAATACAAAAAAGTCTCTCTTTTTGTTCTCTCTCAGGTAAACAGTTTCAAACCTATTAGGTTGCATAGTTCTAAGATCATAAGCACCTTAACGAAATGTAACTTGGTATTCTTTTTTCCTTGATCTTTCATGCTTCCCATTCTTGTTCTCAATTTTTTTTTTCATGTTGGTTATTGTTTTGTTGCGGAAGTGGTGCAGAAAAAGAAGGTGTGACCACCTGCACACTAGTGTTCTTTTACCAGAATATGTGTATGTGTGTGTGTGTGGTGTGGAAATGCCTTTGTGTGTGTTCGATGTGTGTCTCTGTGTGTACGAGGTCTGGTGTGTGTTCATGTGTACGTGGTGGGCTGTGTGGTCTGTATGTGTGCATCTGTGTGTAGGGGTGTGTGTGTGTGGTGGGTATGTGTGTGTGTCTGCGAGGGGTGTGTGTGTCTTTGTGTGTGTGCATGGGCTGATATACACAGAGAGAGGGTCACACAGACATACCTTACGACCTGGGTTACTGGGTGGGAAAGTGCCTATAAGTGGCCCTTTCAAACGCATGGCTTTCTAGATGCTATTTGGGTTGTGTCAGCCCACATTACTGCAGACCAGACAAGCTGACTTCGAGGCTCATACGGAAAGGGAACTGAAAAGGAGAGGATGATATTCCCGTTTGAGCAACTGCTGTCACCCCTCGGATGCTGGAGGAAGAAGTGAAGGGCACCCCACTCTCCCTCTCCCCCACAATTCCCATCTCCTTCACTGTTTCATCTCTGAGCCCTGGCTAGGGAGTTTCTCCACATCTTCCTTCATCTGCTTTAGGTTTTGCTTTTATTTTTTTTTTTAATTTCTTTTTGTTTTTTTTTCTAGTTGTTTCAGTCAGAAACCTTAAACATGTCTTCATGTCACCACTGTCTTCTCTGGACCATCTCGCTCCCATCCCCCCTGGGCTGGGTGCTCTATGAGCAACCACACTCCTCCACGATCATGTTCTGGATGTCCTTCTTGATGATGTTCTGCCCATCATCATAGTACAACATGGACATGGGTCTCAGCTTGGTGGGCACACAGCACGACTTGAGGTTGGCGAAGGGGCTGTGACCCCGCATGCGGTAGTGGTTGATGACCGTCGAGTGAAAGGAGAGGGATGAGCCCGACGTGCCTGCTATGTGGCTGGGGCACTCACCCTCACAGTAGTTGGCGTGGTAGCCCGAGGGAGCGATGATCCAGTCATTCCAGCCAATGTCCTTGAAACTAACAAAGAACTGTTTCTTACAGCAGATGTTGACCTTGCCGTCACACTCCAAGCCCCGCCGCCGGCGCCGGTGAGGGTGGTCTTCAGACTGGCGGGCCTGCAGCATGAGGAAAGGTCTGTGCGACTGCTCCTTCTCCTCGTCCCCTCCCGCCCCTCCTTCTCCATCCCTCTTCTTCCCTTCCCCCTCCTCTTCTTTCTTCTTCTTCTTGCCCAGGAGCACCAGGCTTGCACCGGTCTCCTGACACTGCTCACAGGCAATCCGTATGTCCAGGGAGCTCTTGCCCTGGTCCAGCAACCGCTGGATGCAGCTGGAGACGGGGAAGATGTGCCAGGTGCTCTTCCGAGCATCCACCACCTTCTCCGATATCAACATTTCACTCTTCTCCCCCTTCAAGCCCACTTCCTCAGCCTCCTCCCCTGCATCCAAGCTGCCCTGCAGGTGCTTCTGCTGTTGAAAGAGACGGATGGTGACTTTGCTCCGGGTCCTGTTGGCCTTGGGAACTTTCAGGAAGAGCCAGATTTCTGCGCGCTCCACCACGGACAGGTCACTGCCTTCTTTGGAAATCTCAAAGTGCAGCGTCTTCCTGGCTGTGCCTAAAGATGAAACACAGAACAAAAGAGAGCAGGGATACGTTAATATCAGGTTCAAGGCCACCTCCTAATTTCTGGCAAGCATGGCAGCCTCTGTTACAAATCATCTCTAACCAGGCTCTGCGAATGAAGGCCTATGTATCTGAAGAATGGTTTGGACATTGTTAAATGGCTGAAGAAAAATAGGATGCTGTGACATGTGAAAATTGCATGAAATTTAAATTGCAGTGCCCATGAATTTTTACTGGATCCCAGCTAGGCTCATTTCTTTACAGGTTGTCTGTGGCTGCTTTGACTAGATTTTGGATTTGAATAGTCACGACAGAGTCCACTTGGCCCACAAAGCTTAAGAGACTTACTCTCTGGCCCTTTTCAGAGAAACTTCATCAACTCTTGCTCTAGAAAGAAGAGAAACTGGATCTGAGTGTGTCTGGGAGCCGGGGTCTGCTGACTAACTGCTTAACCTGAGTCTTACCTTTTATAAAATGGGAATAATATAGTGACATCTGGCCCATTATCTCATAGGTTTGGAAGGACCCAACAGGATAAGATAGACGAAGATATACTATAAGCTCTAGCAAGCTGTAGAGACACTATTATCCCTGAAACAAATATGCAAACACCCTGCTATGTAAGACTGCCTGTAGTGTCTGGTGGATCAGATGGTGAAAGAATCCACCTACAATGCAGGGGACCTGGATTCGATCCCTGGGTTGGGAAGATCCCCTGGAGGAGGGCTTGGCAACCGACTCCAGTATTCTTGCTTGGAGAATCCCCATGGACAGAGAAGCCTGGTGGGCTACAGTCCACGGGGTCTCAAACAGTTGGACACGACTGGCCAACTGAGCACACACAGCACTTCCTGGCGTGTCCCCACGGGGCTTGCCTCCTCCTCCGCAGCCACAACCTGCTCCACGCCCCACCATTCCTTTCCTGGGTCACTGCAACAGCCATTTCTCTTAGGCACAAGCTGTCAGGCCAGCAGGGAGTCAGGCCCCTCTCCCATCATTTCTCCATTAAGCAGGTAAAGGGATCTTTCCCAGAGGTGGACTCATTCCCATCACTTGTTCCGTCCAGTCCTGCACTGAGCTCCTGCTGTCCTCAGTGTAAGACAGAAACTGCAGGGAACTCTGGGCTGTACCTGAGCTGCTCCCACCTTCCGGCTCAGGTCTCTCCCAGCACCCCATCTCTGTGGTCCAGCCTCACAGCATGAACATCTCACAAACCTCTCATCTCCAGGCACTGACAGTTACTGTTTTTCTACCTAGAAGACCCTTGCTCCCCAAACACCATCCACAGTGACTGCCCTTAATAAAGCTTTGACTTTTAGATGGGATGACTCCTCTTCCCCTAGAAGTGATGCCTCTTCCCCACCTCCACCCCCACTCTCCTGCCGGTCCAACTTAGGACACCCCAGGTCTGAGGTCCTCTCTATCTCGTTTACTGTCATAGCCCAGGATTTAGAAGGAAGTAGTCAATTACTTGCTTCTTTATTAACAGATGGAGGCACCCTTAGCACCAAACTAGAAGAGATCGACCTCCTACCCTTGTATCCCTCAGTTTTGCCTCCTTCCTTTAGCAGTTTGGAGGTTTAGTCACTAAGCTGTATTCGACTCTCGTGATCCCATGGACTATAGCCCACCAGGTTCCTCTGTCCATGGAATTTGCCAGGCAAGAATACTGGAGTGGATTGCATTTCCTTCTCCAGGGCATCTTCCCAACTCAGGGATCAAACCTACATTTCCTGCATTGCAGGCAGATTCTTGACTGCTGAGCCACCATTCAAGGTGGCTCATTCCTTCCATTCAAGGAAGCCCTTGAATGCTGCTTAGAGAGTCCAAATATAGCAACAGCTGTTAATAAGAGAGGAGACCCCTACATTGGCAGAGTGGTTGAATGCAGGAACCACTCAGTTCTTGCCTAATTCTAAAGTGAGAAAAAGTCATTCATTTCCTTCTCTTACTACAAGCCCCTATATTCCTGCAACAACATTTACTGTAAGAAGCGGGTGTCCAGACTAGAATTCTTTGACTGATCAAAGTGAGGTCCCCTCACTTCCCCTGCTACCACCTGGTGGTATCTGAAACAAGTTCTCTTTTCTCAACTGCCGCCTGTGTGTACCTGGCTCCAACTGCTCAAGTACATGCATCCGGAGGAGCACAAATCTGAGAACCATCTGAAAGTTCCTCTTAGAACGCGCAGCTCCCTAGGGGGTCTCCCTGCCTGGATTTCTATAGCTAACGGAAATCCAGCCATACTTATCACTCTCAGCCCTGAGATGTTTACGGTACTATAAATTTTAGGCACGGTTTCAAGTTCTCTGCAGCAGAAAGGCTATTCTGTGCAGGGAGAGCTGTGGATTCTGTTCTTAATTTAACAGTGTGATACTGCTAGTGGTAAATTCACTGAGGCCGGGGCCCCAGCAGGGCTGCATGCATATAGGAAAGGTTCTCTGGTTTCCCTGTACAAACTTGAAAGGACATTGGCTCTGACGGTGCTGCTGGTGGTGGTGGTGAGCAGCATTCCTTTGCCTCCGACCTCGCATCTCTGGCAGGAGTTGAAATGAATCATGAAGTTAGGTTTATGATTAGATCACCAGAGCGGGGAGCAGTTAGAGGAGTAAACTGTCATTTTTAAGGAAGCGAGAGGACATTTTTTTTTTTTTTTTTCAAAACAGGAATCCAGTACTCTCCTTTGCTAAAAATTGGTGGGGCTTGGTCATCGGGGGGTTGTTGTTTGGATGAAATATTCATTGGAGTAAATGATATGTTAAAGTCCCCATTATTATTGTGTTATTTTCAATTTCCCCTTTTATGGTTGTTACTGTTTATCTTTTAAGAAAGCAAAAGAGAGGAGACCACAAAGCAGAGCTTCATCACTTAACTCTAAAAAGATCATCAGCTGTGGATTCTGAGTTGTAGAGTCCTCGAGAGACGAGAGGGAAAGGCAGCTGGAAGCTGCCCTAGGCTCCGTGAAAAGGCGTGGAGGAGCCCGTGGTCTCCCCCAGTGTGGGCACAGCCGCCCTGCCCCACAGAGAATGCTAACAAGCTCCCTGCTGCTCTCCCTTCTGCCTCCACGCAGGCCAACTTCTGAAACCTTAAACCGCACAGGGTGCCACTCCAAAGACAGAGATCTAGAAGCTGCTAAGTTAGAGGAGCCAGCGGGCACAAGGTTCTGATTTGCTTTTCTAGGAAAGAGTGTGAAACGGGAGAGTCTGACTGTCCCCAGGCTGAGAGGGCTCATTTCCACAGGCTCAATTTCCACAGGCTCAATCATTTCTCAACCAGCAGGGGAGAAGGGGCTGAGGGTGAAGGTAGATGGTCCCCAGTAAAGAGAGGGTCCAGGTGGCAGTGCGGACCCACCCACATTGGACTTTCCTTGAATAAAATCCAGAGAAGTCTACAAATGCTGGGAAGAGGTGGTGAGATGCTCACTGGCTGACTTGTACCAGTGGCACCACATGTAAATTGCCTCCAGAGGGTCAGCGAGCCGAGGCCCCTTGCTTCCAGGAACAGCCTACAGGGCAGCCCCTCATTTCTCAAGAGTTGGTTTCTGATGCACAATATAGCCCCACCCCTTCTCCACAGGCAGCTCTACTTGGAAGCAAATGATTTAGTGTTCCTGAGAGAGGATTGTACAAAGAGAGTACTCATTAGAGGGGACTCAATCTGTCAGGTGCTGTTATATTAGGATCAGAGAGTCATCATAAAATGACTTTCATCCTGGTCCTGGCTGATAATTAACTGCATGGCATTGCCTGCGTACTGGGAAGAGGCGCAGCGCTGAAATATGCATCGGTTTAATGATCTGAGCAGAAAGACTCGGTTCCCTGTATTTGCCTCCATTGCCTGCGTGCTGGATCTCTCCCCCAGATTTCTGACATTTGGATTTTCCCCTACTAATTGACATGCCTGTCGCTTCCTTCTCCTGGTGTCCATTTCTGGAACTGCTATTTGTATATTGCATGATATTTTATCAGGGAAAAAAATAAAACTGAGATCCAATTTCACGAAAATGCCGTTGCCATAATGCTCATGAGAACAGGGGGAAGAGAGAGATTCAAGGCTTCCTAATCTCTACATTATATGCAGGTACATTTTCAAAGTTCTATTATATTCTGACTTATTAAGCAGTGCATTTACTTTTTCTTTTACATCTAGCTTTCATTGCAGAAGTGGAGGGGGCACAGAATGAGAGAGCTAGGCGCTGGATGGAATTCATATTTACCAGGGCTGTAGGTTTCAAAAAGATATAACAACCCTCAAATTTCTTAGGCATGAAAAATATAAGTAGTCACTTGATTACATTTGCTTTATCTGTGTTTTATCGGAGACAGATGGCTATACTGCAATGATGCTTTCAGGATGCTCCAATCCTCAAATCTCCATGCACAGCAATTTGAAAAATGGAAGGAGTTTGCCTAAGGCTGCGGTGTTTAGGATCAATTACTAGTCAGTTTCAGGCTTGACTTAAATATCTCCTGCTATAAAATCTTGGAATGGAAATCTTCCCATAGTGCTTTGGGGTACAGCATTCGTTTATACAGGTGTGCGCCGGGTTCCTACACTGTTACCTACCTAACTAGATATAGCTGCTGGCTTTGCTAACCTTTCATTACCTACTCTATGATAATATTCTTTTCATCCTCTGCGCTATTTTTTCCCTCCCGAGGCTTGTGAGCAACGCTTGTATCACAGCCTGCTCTGCCTGAGTAATTCACCAAGAAGTCCCACGCAAACCCATGTGGGTGATAATATTTCATCACTTAAACCTCTCGAGTTTGGTGGACACATACCAAAGGGAGGAAAAAAAAAAAGTGTCTAAAAATGGGTAGGAGAGATGATTACTGCACCTTGTAGGGAACACCTCAGAAATGTTTCCGAGTGGGAGGCATTGAATGGAGGAATGAGTTTGGAAACCTGCAAGTGAAAATACCTGAAAGCACATTTTCCTTTGCTTTGATGCTTTCAGAATTTTTCAAATGTTTTCATAACTCACACAGATATAGGCAGGCATGCCAAGGGTTAAGCAGCCAAGTTCCTGGTTCTTCCCCCTCCCCAACACTAGGATACAAAATGCTGCTCATTCCCCACCCAACCCCACCAGCAGGTTCATGGATCCAGGAGCAACTCCGATGAAATAAACGATACTAACATGCAGTGTTTCATTTTTGATACGTTTTGTTCTCCTCACCAGGGTCCTACTTAAAGTATGCTGCCCTTCTCCATGTGAGTAATAATTAAGTCTCTAATGTTAATGTAAAGAGCCTTGTTGTTTATGGAGGAGTTAAACTCACCACGTGGGGGTGGGGGGGCTCGCTGTAATATACAGCTGTTACTTTCATTTTCCATTCTTCGCCAGAGTTTCCCTGTGCCTAGACATGGTACAGTCACTGATGGGAGAATATAGCATGTGTGCTCCCTGAAGCACTAATTTTGCATCTGGACTGTTTCCAGGGATTTCTGCTAAAAGCAGCAAGTGAGGCCTTGAAGGTTATGCCTCCTTTAACCTGCAGGAGAGGGTCTTGCCAAAGCAGAACTTTAGTTATAAATTATCTTGATTTTTTTTTTTAGACTTACTATCTTTGCTTAGGATCTGCTATTGAATTGTAAATGCTCGGCCACATTCCTGCATCTTTCATTTAAATAGCAATTAAAAAAAGGTTAAATATTTAGGGAGGAAGGGATTTTAGATGCCTAAAAGGAGAAAAAATTTCTGAAGGTTCAACCCTCGGACTTTCAGAGCCTTCTTCCAAAGTTCCTGAGAACTTTTACACTTTGGGTTTCGGAGCTAGGAACCAGTCTGGTATAAAGCATTCTGAACTACAAGAGATTGTGCCTGAGTACACTTTAGCAGAAGAGGGACCAAGAGAAACACGTATTTTTATGCAAAGTGCCTGGGAAGGTATGATTCTGGGTTTTCCAAATACGAAAACTGAATTTCTACCCTGATCCTCCCCTACACCCACTCCAATACACCTCCTCCTCTGGCCCAAACCACTAATCCATCTCTTTACACATCTTTTCTCCACCATTTCTCTCTACACTCTCAGTGCAAGAAACAAACGCATCCTCCAAAGCCTTACGTGCTGTTCCCACAAGGCATAAATAAATAGACTTTCTCCTCCCTGTCTGAAGTCACTTGTCCTTTGTCGCTGGTGAAAACTGCTGATAAAACAGGCCCACTAGGCAACCACATCAGGGGAGACGGAGACGGAAGAAGTTTTTTGTCAAAGCTCAGGCAGCCGTATTAGGGAGAGACGTGTGAGCAAATCAGGATTGCTGATGATTCACGGTCACATTTCTCCCCGCTCCGCTTTGTTTGCTTCTGAAATTTATCATTCCTCTGTCTTCCATAGAGCTGTGGAATGTCCATACGTATCACTACAATTCCTATTTCCGTACCGTCTGTCTCATGTAATATGTTACAGGTAGTCATGTTCCTCTCAACCCATAAAATCCTAACTTATCCTGCAGGATGAAAGGAAGGAGGGCGGGGCGGGGAGGGCGGATTGTTAATCAGCAAGATTAAGGCGATGCAGGCTGGGGCTTCCAGTAGGTGAAATTGTTTCCCTGGAAGACTAACTGGTAAGGAGCAAAAGTCTTTGGAATGCGCCCTCTTGTGGCCGATTATTTCCATTATTCAGAGAAGAGCGTGTATAACCCCTGTGAGGGTGAATTCCCAGCAAGTTCAGAAGATGGGCATGGGGTAGTGGGAGTCACGTCCACCTTGAGATGACTTTCCTGGGGTGGAGGAAAACAGTCATCCTAGCAAGCCACCCTTAGACCTCTGTCTGGGAACCTTTATGTATGTACATTTTAACTCAAATCTTCCGTTAGCTAGAATGTTCCAAGGAAGGAAATGTATGTGTTGCTTTCAACACCTGGGCTGTGGGCGTATTTTCTATTTCTTGGTGCTTGATTTGTCTTTCTTCCCCTATACTTTCTTCAGTAAGTGCTATCAATTGCTAACCTCATTACCAGAATCGGCATGATACTCAAGGATATATCATTATCCTCCTTTGACTGGCTTTTGTCACAAATCATAAAAAGAGAAAATAGAGAAGTCAAGAAGACCACTAATTTGGCCTCAGTGATAATTATGATGAGAGTTGGCTTGACTCTACCCATCTCTTCCTCCTGTTCCTTAAAGTGTTAAACAACAGAGGATTCTGTTGCCAGCCTTGCAAAAAATGCAGTCACCTTGGTTAGCAATCTGGGGTTACAGATATAAAAAGAAAATCATTGTTGTTTGTGAGAATACATTTCAGAGAAGCTGAGGGCAATGCTTTAGCGCTTAGTCAACAGCAACTCATGTCAGCTTTACCAAGGTGGGGTGCTTTCCACCTGAACACAAGGGACAGACTCAGTTCAAAAAGTTCCTGGCACCTGAGTGCGAGTCCTTCAACTGTGGTGGCCATGTCTTGGCCTTCTTCAAGTGTCATAATGAGTAAAGGTAACAATAAACATGATTCCTCAACTGAGGAATCATGAGGCTGAAGAATGCACGTATGGTGAGCATTTGTGACATGCATGCAGATGACACTGAATTCTATGCTGTACAGAATGGTATCTAGAGAAAAAAAAACTGAATGCCCTTTGCTATTCTTAAAAATCTTGATGTTTGACATCATTTGAGAATTACTAAGGTTGAATTATTCCAAAAGCAACAAGACATTTTCATATATTCATGACAATTGTTCTGATGATAAATCTCTCTTCTGGGTTAGCAAAGGAGCAGCAAAATACTCACATAGTACTTACTCTACTCGGAGAGTAGATTGTCCATAGAGCAATCATTTTTGTGAAATTATACTAAGTCGACTTAAAGTTGATGCATGAGACTTCTTAAATGAGAAAAATGAGCAAGTGTCAAAAACCTTTTCTAAGAAGCCAGCAACTTGCCCAAAGTCAGGCTGTAAACTCAACCCGGAGGAGTTTTCCATTATAGACCTTAAATTGTAGTCAACACGTGAGTTAAATGAATCCACCTTTTCAAAAAGTAGCTCAATTTCTTTCAAACCAAATAGGGGCCAGAAAAGGTTTTTTGAAAAATGACGAGATTTCATATAATTGACAAAAAAGATTGGCACTGAGATGAAGGCCATAAGTAAGAAAGAAGGCAAAAATTCAAATTCTTTTCCCTGCAAAATCTCTCAATGCCAAAGGAGTGTTTTGCTTTACAAGTTGGAGAAGTCAGGAATTGGGTGCATCAGGTGTGCAGTTAAAAGTGGCCAGAGGCATATGTCTGCTTAGTCATATGATGTGGGTAAAGCCAATTGAGGAAGAGCTGCAATTAAGGCCATTCTGTGTGGCAATTAGTATATAAAAACATATACAGGGTCCCTATTGTGGCAGAAGAAGGAGAAGCACCTATACCACTGGAATCCATTTCCCCGCTCAGGACCTCAGAAAATGTTAAGAAAAATTGGGTGGCAGCTCAAAAAGACTCCAACCTGCCTCTTTCCCTCAGTAAGCTTCACAAGATAAAGTCAAAAGTCCTTTGGGACTGCATGGAAAAAGAGCTTTAAGGGAAGAAAGTCAGACCTTCTTGAAAAGAAAGAAGCTTCTGGTGAGAGAGCTAAACTGCCCACGGGACACCAGAGCTTTTCCTAGGAGGGGGAACCAGCAAGTCAGCAGGCTATCTGCTCCACCCCCACCCCACCCCACCCCCCAGAAGGATGCCCTGGTCTCACATGGTTTTCTTGAAAATATACCATCTGAGTCAACAGGTTTTCAGGATTGGAAATTCTGAGTGTTGCCTTAATTGTTTATACTGCTGCGGCAAACTTTTAAACAGCAATGCTGGGAGTCCCGGCACATACTTTACTGGCCATATGCTCTACCAAACAAAACAATGGCATTCCTTTCAAATGGATTTGGCAAGGGATGCAATTCTTTAGCCTGGCATTACCATGAAAGTAACATGAAATTAACACATCTGTGTGTGCCCAGGCGCAGCACGCTCAGGCTTGTAGACAGGCAAAAGGATCTGGGTCACATAACTGTAAAAATAACCTGACCCCGGGTCTCCAGCAGGCCCTTTTGACAGGTATTGTTTTCTTCAGCAACAGGTTAGCATGGTCCTGAGCCAACGATTAGAATCTATTTATTAAAGTTCTTCCTCTTAAGGATTGAGTGGGAGTTCAGTGTAGTATCTGAGAGCACTTTGTCAAGGTTGCATTCCTTGGCAGAGAGCTCTTAGTAACTTTACAGAGAACAAAACTCTTTTTTTTTTTTTAGTTCAGAGAGCAAAAGTCAGTGTTCCAAAAGTGACTGATGGTTCAATGTCATCTGTTCCCTAGCCCACCCCACCCCCTAAAGTCGTTCATCACTAGAATGTGATGCTTGTGTCTTTAGAGGCAGAGTTTCTAAAGGTAAAAATGACTGTCACTAATATGCCCTGCTTCTCGATGTGGCCCCTGATTGGACTTTTAAAGAAAAAGGGATGTTTTTAAGACAATGACTTCATCTGGGCCATGCCATCCCGATCCTGCGCTTGCCGCCATCCCCCCACCCACCCTTCTCAGACTACCTTCCTGCTTCACATTGGGCCGAGGGCTTCTCCGGGACGACCGGCTGAGTTGAGCAAGTGTAAGCTAGCCATCTCCTGCCAGGGCTCTGCCCAGGACCTCAGCACCCCAGTCTGGGAGGTCCTCTCCCCCCCTCCCTAACCCCCTACCCTCGCCGTGGTCCACCCGCTACCGTCCCCTAATAACTCATGACCTTCCCAGGCAGGGTGCAGCTGGAGGGCAAGAAGTTCCGCCGCCGAGGACTGTCAGAGCAGTGTGCCCCCCCCCACCACCCCCACCCCCGGGCAGGCACCCACCTGATTCCGCGAACGTGATGATCTCCGAGGTCTGCTCCATAAGTTCATTCATTTCTGCCCTCCGTCCGATGTCGTCCTCTATCTCCACGTACCCGTTCTCCCCCACTTTTCCCACATGAAGCTTTCTGATCGCGTTCAGAAGCGCCGCCTTGGGTACCGGCTGGGTGACATCGGGTCTCTTCTTCAAGTGCAGCATGTTTAAAATGTGCTTCTTGACGGCCTCCACCATCTCCGGCTGAGAGTTGGGTACATCCTTTGGGAGGGTGGCCAGCGCGCAGGACGGGCAGTCTGGGGCCGCGCTGTGCCCCTCGGATCCCGGGGTGGGGGAACTCCTCACTATAATCCAGCAACTCGCCAACAAAAATCCTCTCAGCCAGAGCAAGGGCATCCTGGCAGCGAAAGTTGTTGTCTTGCCCTTTTAAAAGGCTCTGCTTTTCCACCCCCCTCACGCACAGGGTTCTTTTTTTTTTTTTTTTTTTTAANCATTCTTTTCTTTTTTTTTTTTTTTTCCTTTCTCCTCTTCAGTCAATTCTCTGGAACAAGAACAAAAAGTTTTCTGTGAAGTTTTGTTTGCAGGTTCCCTCTCTGAATGCAGTCGGTGCCGTAGGTTTGTGGCTGTCAGCGAGGAGAGTTCTGACTGTCTCCGGGAGTAAGGAGAGGGAGGGAAGGAGGGAAGGAGGGAGGGAGGGAGAGACAGGGTGGGGGGGGAGAGAGACAGAGAGAGGACGGGAGGGAAAGAGAGACAGGGAGACAGAAGAGAGAGGGAGAGAAGGGGAGAGGGAGGGAGGGAGAGAGGGAGAGAGAGAGGGGGGGGAGAGAGACAGGGAGACAGAGCGATTGGCCCTAAGTGAGTGAGTGAATGGGAGAGGGAGGGAGTTTGTCTGTGAGTAAAGGCTGTGATTAGGAAGGGGAGGGACAACTCTTTCTGACAGGCTGCCTGCCTTCTGCTCCCTTACACACACACCTCTCTGCAAATATCACCATTCTCTGGAGTTCTACTTTCCCTTCCGAAGGAAATTCTCCTGACTCGGTTCTGCTACTTCTTCACTTCTCCCCCCACCCTGTTTCTTTCTCTGCCCGGTCCTCTTGCTTCACCTTCTTCCTCTTTTGGAGGGACAAGCAAAGCCTGTCTCCATCAACAGGGGGGACCAGACTGAAACAGCCTGCCCCAGCACCCCTCTACCCTGCCTGGCCACTGCCTGGAAGGTGGGGCTCAGGGTGCCCAGAGGTGGGCAGGCAGGTGGTGAAGGTCAAGAAGAGGGGCCACTGTGTCACTTCCGGCCGGAGGGAATCCTGCAGACCGTCCTTTCCCCCATTCATTCATATTTCAATGTTCAGGGCCTCAACACTGGCAGGCGATCAGAGGGGAGTGCAAATAGAACTTTTGTTTGGGGTCATATAATACACTCTACTTTTTCCAACTGCAAAAGGCAGCAGGTCCACAGGCAGGCAGCGGGTTACACGCTTGTGTCATGGGAAGTGAAGCTCTGGCCCCTGTCTTTTGCCGCCACCCCTCCTGCCCGGCACACACACTCACAGATGACAGCTCACCACCACTGGCTCTGAATTCACAGGTAAAATGCAGAATTCCACTGGCTTTCCCCACATTAATTTATACAAATAGTGAGCTCCTATGACTTGAATAACTGTTCCTAGCAGGGGAAGAATCTCTAAAATATACTGGTAAATAATTTTCTCTGTCATGGGGTAGTTTGTTCAGCCTGCTCCCTATCCGCATCCCGGACCAGTCAACAGACTTGCTTCTTTTTCTCTCAAAGGAACAGCACAGATGAAATCATCATGGATTTCAGTGTTCACAGAAAAAGAAAAATGTGAATTTTTAAACAATGCCTCTCTGAGTTTTTTTTATTCTCCTCCCCCCGCCCCCTCCTTTTTTTCATTTTTCTGTCTTATTGCTTTTATCTGCAGAAGTATCTTTAAGAGGTCCATCTGTTAAAGCTTTCCTTCCCTCTCAGTTGCTTCCCCACACATAAGCAAGCCCTCTCAGTTTCTGTAGATACAGTCAGCTTATATCTGACACCTAGTGTGTTCAGAGCATTATAGTCAAGCAATGCACTTTGGTTGGGAAAAGTTAATAAATAACATTACTAGAAGCATAAGAACCGAGGGCGAGGGGAGGAGGGTGAGACCAGTGTGATACTAAGTTAAAATTACAGTTTGCATAGGTAACAAAGCTTTTCTGAATTGGATACCCCGTCCCCCTTTTCTAAGGCATCTGCCTGTGAGGTTTTCTCTGTGACGAGCCACCTTTAGGATTTTTACTTCCAGGAACATCAGTTACCCTGCTATTACTCTTCAGAGTTTGTCAACATTCCTTGAAGAGTCTAATTTGTTTCTAGTGGGGGATGGTGAAAGAGAATGGGGAAAGGGTGGCACTTGTGTTAATAATTGCTTAATAAAATATCTTTGAAACTGAAGATTTATAACATAATCTACCTATTTGGCGTCCCATATGCAGTACCCAAAGCATTTTGCAGTCCAATTAAGTTTTACAAGAGAGGTTGAAATAGATCTCAAAGTTTAATGACTCCAAACAACTTGCATTGAGATAAATGTAACTCATCATCAGGACCCTCTCTGTATATGAGTTTGTGTGTATTCCCTGAATTTACTATTTTGAACGTAACTTAAAAATTCGCTCTCTCTTTGACACAAGTCCTTGCCTAGAGATGCTGAATTGGGCTGTAGAAACACATAATCTATCTGCATGCTCTGCTGCTAAAAACACTATTCACTTGCTTGAACACATAAAAAGGTACAGATCACAATCTGCATGGAAGTGCCAAGAAGTTGTAAAAGTCCTGCTCACCATCCTGCCTAGGAACGTGGAAAGAGCTCAGAAGTAAGTTAAAAAGCATTACCTTTCCGGTCCTCTCTTTCACCAGCAGACTCTTGTCTCGTGTGGTAAGAGCTGTCCGGGTTCCTCTTCATGGTATTGGCACTGAGGAGTTTTATACTGTACTACTTATTTGTACAGTCACACATTGGTACCAGTCAAGCCGAGGAGGGCTGGGGCTTTGTTTGGGATTGGTTAGAATCAGCATGACATCAGCAGATGACTGGTTTTTCCAGTGTGAGACATATTTCATAACTCATTATCTAATGGAAAGCCTTTCTTGGCTTCAGTAACACTACTGGGTGATCAGTGAGCCAGTGAAATGTCTGACTGACTGGACTCCCCTTTAGAACAATCCTGGAATCCAACAACTCTGTCTCACTGAGGGTCCAACTTTCAACTTTTCTTTGACCAATTGAGCACACACTTCTTATATTCAGGCTCAGTTTTATATCTTCACAGAAAGCATCTGTTACTTCATGAAGTTGCCTCTATTTACAAAGTATTTTATTGTTTCTTACAGGGAAGAAAGTTCACAGTGCTCTTCCTAGAGATTCTGATTTTACTTTCTTAAATAAGATATTCCAGGGAGGAAAAAAATAAGAAAATATGTATACCTATATGGGATGATTGCCTCTCCCCTGATTTACAGCATTATTTAACATCTTGAAAAACTTAATTTTTAAAAATAAGATGTTTTATTGAGAAAAAGCCAAGGGAAATATGTATCCCTATGGGATGATGTTCTTCCCTCTTCTGACTTACACTATTATTTTACATCTTGAAATTGAATACCTGCTTTATAAATCATTTATCACCGAGAACTTTGGAAATAGTCACTCTCTGCTAGTGAACATTATAAGTGTGCTTCCCAAGCCTTTAGAATCCCAATCTAACTAGAAGAAAAAGAAAAGAAAAAGAATGTCCTACATGATTCTTCTTTATCAGAACTTCAAGTCCTATGATTTCTAAATTGTTACAAATATAACATGAGATTAATGAAAAAAAGTGAACATTTCTTGAAACTGGAGTTAAGTTGGTCAGGGTGTTTTGGGGGAGGGAAAAGGCAGTGTTAGCTAGTCAGGGATAACACAGGAGGAAGGAATTCTCAGACAAGAATGCTGGGGAAGGGTTGTTAGAAGAAGCATAGCTGAAGCCTAAGTCGGGTATTCATGACAAGTTGAATAAAATGTGCAAAATTGGGAGCTAATGAAAGCCATATGACCAGATATGTTGTTTTGTATGCAGGATTTAACATGCATAAAATAAACTTTTCACTGTGCCCACAAGCAAAATATAGAGACTCTGGTCTCCTGATGTGCAGTTTAAGCAGGTTCCTTTAGGACACCAGAAGTTTGTCTCAAGGGGTCTGTCTTGGCTAAACACAGAGCACGTGTAGGTGCTGAACTGTATACTGGGGTGGGGCAGAGTAGTCTGAGAATTGCATATTCAGAAATGAAGTAGGAAATAAAATGTTAGGTTGTAGAAAAACAGAAGGAATCTGAGAAGCAAAGATAGAAACAAGATCAGTGTTGGTTAATGCCAAAGCTGCCCATCAGGTTTGAACTGGATGGATCCAACCTCTCTATAAGAAAGGAACTTCCCCATCCTTTTTGGATGAGCCCTGGGGGGTGGGAGGGGGCATCTAAATTCACCCGTCCTCCCCACATGAACCCTGGTGTCCTGGAAATAGCACTAGGTTTATGAATTTCGGGGCACAAATCAACCTGGATGACACCCCAGTTCCACTGCTTACTAACCAGATAACCTCAGGCCTCAGTGTGCACATCTGTAAAATGGGATCCACCTACTCCACTGCAGGATCCAGCACATGCTCAGAAAATACTGGGTGATAAAGATTTCCTGGTGCCTCTCTCTGAACATATGTGTCACAGGAATATGCAGCACCCCGACCAGAGAAGCCACCCTCTCTCTCGGTGACTCAGATCGCGTTGGCCACGGATGCCACCAAAGTGCCCACCTGCCTAGGTCAGCCCACCAGCTGTGATGTCATTCTCCACCTGAATCCCCAACCTCAGAGCTGAGCCACGCGGGAAATGCCTCCTCACTCAGTGGAAATGAGGTGGAGGTGGTAGAGGAAGCAGGCAGGTTAAAATAACTTCTGTCGACTCTTGTGGATGGGGGAATGATCTTTTCCCTGCCGGACTCCAGGGCTCCGGGGAGTGGAGGAGCTGGTCCGCCCAGCTCCTGATCAGCATCTCCTGTTCCTTCCTCCACTTGGTTTCTCTTTCACTTCCTGCCCCCTCCCCCCCGCGCCCCAGTTCCCCCACCCCGGCCCTGCGGTCCCGCTGCTCGGCCTGCTACTGTACCTTGAGCAACACCTGCTGGCAGCTCCCGGGGATCACGCCGGATCGCGGCCGCTGCTCGAGCTCGGCTCGCGGGGCTGGAGTCTGGGCCAAGCCTTGCGCAGCGGCCGCCTCTATTTTTACCCGGAGCACCAGCAAGGGCAACTTCTTTTAAGAGCAGCTCTTGATTTTTCCCCCCTTTTGGCAGCTAGAGAATTCAGAGAGGGAGGGGGGAGGGAAATCACTGATCAGTAAGTGCAGCTGGGAATCTCTGAACCCAGTTATCAGTGCCAAGACTGAAAGCCACGGCCAATGTCAGGGACCAGGAAGGGGACTTGCGGGCTGGCTCCCAGGCGGACAGAGGCGCGCGGGGAGCGCTCCCGCCCCGCCAGCTCTGTCCCCTTTCCGATCGCGGAGCCCGGTCCTCCCCGCCACTGCGCTAGCACGGTGGCCGGCTGCCACTGCGCTTTTCACCTAGTGCAGGAGGCCTGATTTACTGACTCCTTCACAAAGCTCCTCGACTCTTCGCTGGAGCCTTTTGCAGGGCTCCGTTCTCGCCTGGAGGAACGGCCCCTGGAGAACCCGGTGGAGCAGCTTGCTTCGAGGAGCCGGGAGGGAAACGGTGGTACCTTATTTTACTGTAATTGCAAAAGGCGCGATGTGCCAGAGATCTATATTTAGAAGCTGTATGTTTCTACTTTTATGTAAATGGAGCAATTAGGGCCTGTCTTGCTGCTGCTAAACTCCAGGGCTTGTGCCTTGCTGGGAAAGCTGGTGTTTTCAATCACAATTAGTGAGCTGGTCAAAAAACCAAGTTCGTTTAAGGATAAGAGCTCAACAGTGCGAGCGAGGGAGAGACCAGAGTCCTGGTGCCATCCTGGGACCGCGGTGACACACACCTTGGGGCACGGCTAACCTATAGTGGAGTTTACCCGTGGCAGCAGCTGGCCCCGTGCAAAGTTGGCATAGATCAAGGAGCGAGAATGTTCATTTTCCTTCTCAAGCAAACCGTCTGTCCTTCGGCTTCCATCCATGCTATTAATTGGTCTCTTTGCTCACTACTCCTGGAACAAGGAGACAGGCCTAGAAAAGGGGACTGTTTTGTTCATGGCTCTGTTGTTTTAGCTGCTGCTCACGCTTTGGCTCTGCTGTTATTCTGTTAAAAAAAAAAAAAAATACCCACTAGGAGGCATGAACGCCCCAAGCAGGTGACTGGGACCTTGTCATCAGATTCAGTCGAAGTGGCACGAGGCTGGGGGGTTCACAGCACTGACTAGGCTGCTGACGACTCAGGGTGTTTTAGTTCCTTCCTATGAAAAATCTGTTCCCCCAAAAGCATGATTTCTGCTTCATCCCCCTGTCTGGGAAACCGAACAGAAAACGTGACTAGAGGGAGAAATCAATAAGATTCGAGGTGTTCTCAGCAGCTGACGTGTTATTCTGGGCTCCAGGCAGGAAAACCTTGCCTCCGTGGGGAGTGGTGACTCCCTCGAGAGGCAGCGCCTCTCCGGATCCAGAAAACGTGGGCGGGATCCAGAGTGGTATTTGCTGCCGGGAGATTTCCGGAGTCTCATCGAATGGTTTGGGTTGAATAGGGAACTGGCAATCCCTGCCTGTTTCCTGGACAGCCAGAGTTTGCCCATCTCCTGGGCGCTGGGTTAGGAAGAGAGATTTGGGACAAGGAAGAATGAGCATTTCACATTCTAAACTGAACTAGGAAGCTGTTTGCTTGTCAAATCAATGAACAAACACAACTCAATAGAGAGGAAGAGGGAAACATGAGAATTCCTCCAAGGGATGGATTAGGAGTTTGGGATAAATAGATGCAAACTCTTGTTCTATAGAATGAATAAACAACAAGTTCCTACTGTATAGTATAGGGAACTGTATTCATTATCCTGTGATAAACCATAATGGAAAAGAATATGAAAAAGAATGCATATATATGTATAAATGATTCACTGTGCTGTACAGTAGAAGTTAACACATTGTCCATTAACTATACTTCAATAAAATAAATTTTTAATAAAAAGTCCTCCAAAATTCACTAGAACACAACAGGATCAGAAATAGTTAATCTAAAATTCTTATTCCTAAGCATCCTGTTTATTTTGAGCCACCAGAATATCCCACAAGGCCTTGTGCTATGTGCAACTACTCTGTTTCAAGAGTAGTTGGAAGTGCCTTACCTGAACCAAGGAAACCTAGATGCTAGAATTAAAATGATTAAGGGAAAAAAAGAAAAACCTCAGTGATAAACTGTTATCATTCCATCTACACAAGTGGGTCTCAATTGTGATGATTTTGCTCCCCAGGAGACATATTGCCATGTCTGAAGACATTTTTGCTTGGTGTAACTGGGAAGGAAGGCCTCTAGTGGATAGAAGCCAGGGATGCCACTAAACAGTCTGATGATGCATCTGACAGCCGTCTCAGCAGACAAATCATCCGACCCCAAATGCTAACTCCTCTGCAGTGGAGAAACCCTGACTTTGAGTTATCATTCCAAAGTTTCACCTAATTTCCTTCCCATCCATGCTCCAAGGGGCCTCGGCATCTATGCAAGAGAGGAAGCATTCAAGTGATACTGCCTCCTTGTATGTCTTGGGCTTCCTGATTCCCGGAAGCCTGCACCGTACAGCGGATATTGACACAGAGAGGGTACTTCTCCAGCATCCCCACCAACTTTCCAGGGAGGCCTCCAAGTATTTGCTTCTGGCTTTATGTTCGAACCAAAAGCAGAAACTTGGTGATCGGCAGCAAAGCGGGATGAATTGGCCCCCACCCAAGCTGTTAGGAGGCAACAGATAATGGAAGACCAAAAATGAATGAGGAATGAGTTATTCATTTGAGCAAGTCAGTATCTGAGAAATCCACTCACTAGCAAATTCCCTGAAGTGAAATTCGCAAAAGCGAGATTACCATGCCTTGCTCCCAGTGCAAGCAAATATGATGTGGCTGATTTTATTTGTTTAATACCTTGGGGGAGTGACACCCAATCAATATCCACAGAGAGAAAACAGTGCTTTGCTAAATCCTAATGCATGTTCCAAGCAACTTTATATTCTCCCAACTTCCTTTGTAAAGGAAGTGGTATGACTGTTCAAGGAAGGCCATGCCCCTTCAGGTGCTGCTCTCCTGTGAGGACTGTGGGAAATATTGTATAGGAGCCCATATCACAGAAAATAATCTGCATCATCAACAAATGCTGGCGAAACCCATAAAAGGGAATTTGGCTGGATCCATCTAGCTTAGATGTGAAATGTTGATCTCCGCACAATAAGGCCAGCTCTCCAGGCTTATCACTTAGTTCCTAAATGACCTGGGTTATCCAGAGAGAAGAGGGTCAGTCAGAGAATGTTCTGAGATGAACAAAGCAAGAGGGAAACATCTTAGACACTCAGACGCCATCTCATCAATGCCAACACCTGAATCTAGTCTCTGCAATAGATGGTTATTTTAGAACCAAAGACTTCCATCCACTTCCAAATGATTCAGAAAAGCCTGGATTTCTTCCCAAGAAGCAATTATTTAGTTCTGGTGAAAAACTCAATCTAGAGAGAGAAATACACAGTTATAGCCTCTAGAGAAAAATAGATATTGAAAAAGAAATAAAAGCAACACTAACACTAAAGCACATGGAATAAATATGCCCTCAAAGGCCTTACTAACCAACATATATTTCAAAAGTGTTTATCAAAAGTCAGTTCTAATCCAATCAGGGAACATCTGGTTGCTCTTCCTATTGCCCCAGAAGATGATGAACAATGCTTGCAAAGGAACAAATAACAAATCGTCGTAATTATGGTTCTCACCTGGATCCCCTTGGGTTGAAAGTTCCATGTTGCTGCCTGGAGGACGCAGAAGCTTAGCCTACAGACGCCATTAGACTCATAAAAGAAGGAATCTTGATCCTAATCCAATGTTGCCCATTCACAAAGATACCCCCACGACCTGCTCCCAAGTTGTCGCTTTGGAGGGAAGACACAGAAAAGAATGGGGGAAGTCCTGTGTGTATTTTTTTTTTTTAATCAGTGAATCGCTGCCTCCCTCCTGTGCTGATAGAGAGTCCAAAGGTTCTATCCCTCTATTGGAGCACCCCCAAGGCCCATCCAGGCCTGCATGACACGAGTGCCCTTGCTCTGGGCACGATGTACTTTCACAGACACTGACACCGTGGCTTGGTTAGTAAATATTTACAGGTGCCCCACTCTAATTTTAGGAAGGTCAAGTTTGCAAAGGTGCCTTGGCAAGCAGGACTTCTGTTAGTCTTTATCAGCTTGGGAAAGCACACTATAATTAAGCACAGTATTTGGAGAGTTTCACTGAAATCCCTGGAGTCTACACTAGCCTTAGACTTTCAAAAATTAACTTACAGCCCCTGTCCCCCTTTTCTGGATACTCACCAAGTTCCTCTTTAAAGATGGGATGGGGTGATAGAGGAAGGAAGAGACAATGTATCAGAAGGAAAAACAGCTTCAGAACACCTCTTTTCCAACAAGCCATGGGTGAATTTGTGATCACTTA